GATCCCGATGCCACCCGGAGAGAGGTCAGGAAAGTACATCACACGGCAGGACATCCTGGCATCCGGAGGACGTTCTTCTTCGCCAGACGTGTGCTACCGGGGGTATCAAAGGGTCTGGTCAGGGAAGTAGTGCCAGACTGTGAACTCTGCTGCTCGATTGATCCTGCACCTGTGAAGCGGCGGAGAGGGAGCTGAGTGTGGACACGGTATGGGAGAGGGCGGCAATGGACGTGACCCACGTTCACGGTAGGGCATATCTAATTCTGATAGACTGCGGCTCGAGGCGTTTTTCTATCTGGCGTTTGCTGAGGCTACAGACAAGCGCTACAGTGGTAGGAGAGCTGGAGTCCATTTTCTAGAACGAGGCGCACCCAGCGAACTGTTCGTGGACAAAGGTCCTGCGTTTCGCAGCAGGCGGTTTCATGCCTTCGTGACCTGATGGGGGGGGGGGGGGGGGGGGGGGTGCGGCTTCGTTTCCGCTGTGCGCACGTAACGTCGGAAACGGCATCATCGAAAGATGTCACCGTAATATTAACGTGATCGCTGCCCGTAAGGGCTGTACCGTAGCCGAAGCGGTATATCGGTATAACGTGACTCCGAGGGGTGAGGAGACGGCCGAATCCGCTCCAGCTAGTCTGTTATACCGTTGCAGAGTGCGCGTGTAGGGACTGGCCGGACAGGGGGTGCAAGGGTCCCAGGGACAGGGAATGTCGGGGGAAACAGAGCGAGCTGAAAATCGGTACCGTCCCGGGGATGGTGCATGGGTTCGGCCGCCCCGTGCGCGCTGTGACACGAGGTATGAGTTAGGTGAGGTGACTCGTGCGATCTCTGATCATTGCGCTGAGGTGAGCGACGTGCCGAGGCATGTTAGTGAGCTCCGCCGCCGTGTGCTGTCCAAGGGCGGATCTGAGGACGCTGCAAGTGCAGCCGACGAGGACGATGGCGGGCCGATGGTGATCTGGCCACGAGCCGTGGAACAGAATGACACTGATGATGTTGGGGGAGGTGGGCGACAGCAACCGGGTCCAAGGACGTCCGGGCGTGCACGCAGGCCGAGCCCGCGGTATAAAGATTGTTGTTGAGTGTCATATGACTTAAAAGTCAGGGGGGAGTGTGATGTGCAATGATGGTCCGTCTCGCCGGCCCGCTCCTACGCTTCGGCCCCGAGGTGCGAGTTTCAGTCGCTTGGCGGCGGGCCGGGAGCGGGGAGTGTTGGAGCGCCGGCCGAGAGGGGAGGACTTTAATAGCGGTGTCCGAACAATACATGAACGCTTTGCCGATCGCCTGCCCGACCTCGTATACGGTGACGCCTATGCCTCGACTCGTCCGCAGATAGTTCTCTGCCGCGACGTTGTAGCCGGCTTTGAGTGACTTGAAGGCGGTTCGGTCGAGAGGTTGGATCTTGTGCGAAGAATACGGTTGCAGGGCCAGCACATATATGTGGTGTCCCCTGGCGTAGACGATGGAAGAAAGATAGTTGTGGGACTGGTGTCCATCCAGTACGATCAGCTGTGGGTTGTTGATGCTGCTCTGCGTCCACTGCTGAAAGTGCACCAGCCACTTCAAGAACAGTTCGCCGTCCGTCCATCCTGAATCACTGGTGCCAGCGATGGACCCTGGAGGTGTCCTGTTCGTGAGCTTGTCCATCAGACGCTTTCTCGGCCAGATCATCATCGGAGGTATGCAATGTTCCACGGCGCTGCAAGCAGCAACAACAGTCACAAGCTTCCCTCTTTCTGCGCTAGTCAGCGCTCCGACGCAACGTTTCCCACACTTGGCCAAAACCTTTGAGGATGTCTGGACAGTGTCAACACCAGTTCGTCCATATTCCAAACCTGCCAGCTCTCGACCTTGAACTTTTCAAGATCTTTATAGATCTCGAAAAATTCAGCCACCATGTATTTGTTGAGGCCAATCGCCCGATGGATGCTGGTTCTTTGCGGCTTTCTGAGGCTGATATCTGGGTTGCAGTTCAGAAAGCGGCATAGCCATTCTTTTCCGGCGGATCCACCTCGAAACGGATGCGGGAGTTCCTTACGCTCAGCCATCTGAAATGCCAGCTTCCGTACGTCCACGGTAGTCAGGCCAAAAAGAAAACTTTCCATCTCACGAATGTATTCTTTGAAAGCCATTTCCACATCGGAAGGGAACACTGTGTCGTACCTTTTAAGACGCTACTATCCCGGACGTTTCACGTTACTGTCGCGATGACGTCGGAGTGTTCTAAGCGGCACACCATCTTTGCGTGACCCCTCCCGCACACCCAGTCCTTTTTGACATCATCCAGAGATTTTCTAATGGCAATTTCGCCATATTTCATGCGCCGTAATTTTCGTTTGTACATCCGCATCATGCCTATAACAAAATGTCATTTGTATTGTACGCTGCCCAATTACAATATAAACAAGAATATGGCTGTTAACTTAAACCACATTTCTAAGTTTAGAAGGTGAATCGACTGCCAATATCATTATCTTCCTCCAATTACATTTCCTCAAAATTTTGTCCGTGAAAAGTTTTAAAAGTTGCACAGATTAAACTATGACCAACGAGTCATTTAAAGCCGATGTAATAAAACATTGACAATAAAAGGCGCAAATGGGGCGATACGGCTTTTTACCTCACGAACTACGGTGGCGTTTTACCTCGGCCAGTCATTCGGCTAGAAAGCAACGGCAGGAATGAGAACAAACACGAATTTAACAACAAACAGCTAGGTAATTTTGGGTTCAAATTATGATCTCTCGATGTGCGTTAACGATTCCGAGCCGTAGTGTAGTATAAACAATTGCCTTAACTTAGCATGGGAACCAAAAAATAATAGAGCAGAAAGTGTTTCCCCGGAACTTTTTAAATTCTAAGGTATCTTGATGGGGCGTTTTGGGGGCATGCCATGTGTGTGAGTGGGGGGGGGGGGGGGGGGGGGCGCCCGCACACACACACACACTTTCCGAAACGTTCCTACGCCTATGTCACGATGGAGTCAAACATGAAAATGTCAACACAAACGAGACGTCCCTACTTGTTCAGTGTCATCATCCTCATGTGAAACAAATTGTACTTAACAGGTTTGGACCTGCGTCCCCACAATCTCTGGAGCAAGAGCACCAGTGGCCGAGGTTGCAGTTTCCATGAGACGGAGCGGCGTTGGCCAGTGCAGCGAACACAGGATGGCGGGCGCATGGCGCCCGAAAACAGCCATCGTAAAATAATGCCGCCAAAAGTCTTTTAAAGTCATTTCGGACCGTTCAGAAACTGGACTGCGGCGCATGTTTAACTAGAATCATTTTAAGCTTATCCTCTGGAGCGAAAAAAACCGAGAACAACATGAAAATTGAGATTCTACCTTCACTTGTCAAGTTCTACCATCAAATTCTTGCAACCGTTCACAATGCTATGAATGCTTATCCGATAATATCATACATCTAAAAATTGCACAGATGAAGCATACTCCCAGAAAACGTTCCAACCAATTAACATTCTGTCGTGGACATAACACAGGACTAACGTGGCACGGCACTGGGAGACTGCAACGCCGGGCGGGGGTTTTTGTTAAAAGACTTGCGAGCACGTATGACGAAAACTGGGTTATGTAATTATTCCCTTACGTGATTCTAAGCAAAGTTGAGCATTCTGAGAGGAACAAAACGTTGATGCAAATTCAAGGCCTTGTTTTGATCCAAGATCTACGTTCACGATGTCCCTGCACAACCCAGAAAAATTCCAATCCGGCCCGGAGTGTTATCGGCTTAGAGAAAGTCCACGAAAAACTTGTAAAGTTAATAGCATCGATGTGTTTCCTCCACTTCGCCGACTTCAAAATGCAAACAGTGTTGTATCTATTGATTACTCCTGACTTTTAAGAAGGGCAGGGCCCCTCTACATCAAGTGACGATATCCGATGATTTCTTGTTTTGAGTGGGGCCTTTCCGCAGGGGGAGAGCTTAGTCAGCCTTGTGTCTCAACCCACAATCACCGAGACTCTGGCTGCGTGCTTGCGTCCGTGCACTTATTGAGTACCGAGTACATGCACGCATCATCGCATGGTAACTGAAAAGCCCTCTTAAATAGCAACGCTGGTAACAATCAACCTCCAACACGCATGCCATTGGTATGACGGGTGTTTCATTTTTCACACGCCTGAGCTTTTTCGTTCAAAACGAAAAAGCTCTTGCTGAAACCGACGCTTGCCGACAAAATATCCTAAACGTTACCAAGATATAACAGAAATACGAGCCTCCAGTTGTTCACATGAGTGCACCGCAGCTCTATTCACGGAGCCACAATTATGATCGGGGAAGGCGTACATGCATGGACATCTGAGTTTCCACGCGCCTGTGCTCCGCCGGATGGAGCGAGCTGTCTGGAATAGCCGCGCCCTCTTAATCAAGCGTCGCCCGTGGCTGACGCGGCCCGCATGTACCAATCATACGGTACATACTGTACATGGTGTGTTTGTGTTTCTGTGGTGTCTGGAGTGTATACATTGTATTCAGCGTTTTACGGCGCTTTTGAGTTTTTGCTGGCAGCTGTTCTTCAGGCGTCTGACTGGGTGGCAGGCCGATCATAGACCAAAGCGGGGGCGGTTGGCGACCCGCAGACTGCTCGCGTGGTGCGCACTAAACGGCAGTGGCGGAAAGTTTGAGACTGCTGGAATAATGGCAGAGAACGGTGCACAAAAATTCAAATGTTTACCTCGTAACGGTCAGAAGCAGGGAACTTCAGGGGGCTGTTTACTACATTCTTCAGTGAACTGCTCGGGTGCCCTGCTCCGTGCCGTGCTCCGTGCTCGGGATCACACAAATAGCGCGACATTCGTTAGCACCCGGCCGTGAAATGTCAGTCCCGACTTGCAGTTCACAATTTCAAATGGACCAGTCAGGCTGGCTGTCCAAACTACACTGCTGGCAGCCTCTCTCAAATTAGATCAGTGACCAATCAGTGTTTACAGACTACCAGTTGTAAGCATAGATGTTACATAACAAGTATGTGCTATGCACTGATGAGGTATATATTTTGTTTGAAGTGCGAGCTATCCCAACCACCTCCTTAGGAGCACAGTGCACAAGTGATAGGCCTTTGGTCATGTCAGATATTTCGATGTCTGCCCAGTGACGTCACGGTTCCACGTCGCCCCTACTTCGTTTTCGGCCGGAAAGGTCACGATGAGAAACACGAAGGTCAAACCAGATCACTGGAGATGGTGTTTCCCTCGAAAGGGTACAGATGCATGACGCACCCCATCCGCACAGGAAACATGCATCGTCACTGACCTAACCTGACCCGCCACATTATTCACTTATCGACTCGCGAAGAGTTGACTATAAAATGGGGCCAGCGCGAATTTCCCCTCGTACCAAGCACAGGTCTGCCGACATCCCTACCACAATTGTCCATGGATGTGATGCATGGATAGCAAAGATGTCGTGAATGTCGCGCGGCATTGCATCCTGACACGCAAAAGAAATGTGCAGCACGCAGCCACAACAAACAACAGTCAAATTGTGCTATCGGTCGCAACGTGATGACATCACGGTCTGCGCCGCCCACAGCGCGTTGACGTCACGGCCGGCGCCAGCCAAGGTCGGCCACCAGTGCCAGGTGATCGGAGGGGAACACGACGCTGGGCAGGGCCGTGTGCCGGGTCACCTCCTCGTGCGAGGGCAGCGGCACCACCTGCCGGTCAGACGGAGCACCAGATGAGCAGCAGCGGCGGCGGCGGCGGTGGTGGCCATGATGGCGGCCGCCCGATGCGAGCTTGGGGAGACAAGTCACAGTCCGGCGCTGAGTGGCACCGCACTGGGGCTCAACCACACCCTCGACAGTCAGACGGGGGCCAGGTGAGCAGCAGCAGCAGCGGCGGCGGCGGTGGCCGTCATCGTGGCCGCCCGATGCGAGCTTGGGGGGACAAGTCACAGTACGGCGCTGAGTGGTAGCGCTCTGGGGCTCAGCCACACCCTCGACGGTCAGACGTTCCCAGCCAGCATCGGATCAGGGCGAGAGCTGACAGTCGGTACAGCTGGCCGGGGATCTGGGCGGCAGGAGCGTCTCCCCTCCCCCCTCACGGCACACAGCACGACCCGACGCACCTGCAGCACCTCCATACAGTCCGCCATGTAGAAGATGTAGTCCAGGCAGCCGACGAACGTGTCCACGTGGTTGGTATAGGCGGGCAGGCCACAGGCGCTGGCCATCTGGTACGGCTGGCGGAACGACACGCCGCGAACCTCCTCCCCCGGCGCTGCGGCATGCCCGGCACGAGGCAGAGGTCAGCGCGCGGACCACACCCGGATCGCCGGCACAACACGCGGCACTTGTACCGCACCACCTGAGGCCCTCACACGCGCTGGCAGGGGACAGCGGACGGCAGCCGCACCACGCGCGCGTGACGCAGTCGTAGCACGATGCGCCGCCGTCAAAAATAGGGACGATGTACGGGCCCGCAGTGACCAGGAGTGGTGGCGGTGCGGCGTTGCGATTTCCTAGTCGCATTGTGCTTGCACGCAGTTAGGTCCCGAAACGGTGCTCTAGCAGTTCACTTCACGGTGCGCGCAGGGATCACATAGGCCCACTAAGAGACCCACACTAATAGCAGAAGGCAGCACAAGTCCGCACCACCCCAGCAGGACGTGGGCGGGGGGGGGGGGGGGATTTCATGTAAAAACGCGCCCAAAATGGCTTTCTCCTCCCTGACGTAGATACTGGTGGCGCAGACCGGTGGAGTACTAGTATAATGTTTGCTTACCACTGGAAAAGTCGGCGAGTCCTTCTTCCAGACTCTGTTTGGTCATCAACCGCACCACCGAGAACTCCGGACAGCTGTTAAAGTCTCCGCAGAACAGCAGAGCCACCTCCCGGGTCGGAACCTGCAACACCGCCGAAGCATCGCGGTCACAGGTCTGACTGGAGCATCCAGCCAGCCCAGCGGCAGCGGCGCCAACTCCCAGGGCGGGCCGCTCGAGGCCCTGCAGGGTGGCGATGGCAGACATCTCCGGTCCCAGTCTCCTGATGTGAGGATCTCCTGCTGCTCTGGTCATACTCGGATGTCAAGCACGAGCATAGGGCAAGGCTGGCCAGGGCGGTAGTGCAACTAACATACAAAAACCCAGCCTCCAATGGTGCAGAGCCTCGTTGTGGATTGGATTACATGTAGGCTTAGAGCAACATGACTACTTGGGGTACGGAACAGGTTCTAAAGTTGTGGCTCGAGTTGGAAAATGTGCATGCTTTGATAAAGACATCGCACGAAAAGTCGCATTTACAACCCCGCATCGTGGACAAAAGGTGCACGCACAAAATTAATAATCATTATGCATCCCACATGCGCAATCATAGTTACTGACATGAATTGTTGGCCACAAAGATAACATTCATTCACGCTGGATAGATGTCATGCTTCATAGCTCTGAACCAAGATTCGAGTAACGCAAGTCATGAAATTCAGATAATGCGAAGAGGGACATATTTCGGCAGGACTTCTGCAGATTTTAAATGGGTGGGTGGGGGTAAGGGGGGACACACTGGTTGTGGACCTGGTCCAAAGCAAGTTATCACAATTTGCGATGGCGATTTTTCGACATCATTTATGATATCATGGTTCGCATATTTTTTGTTTTGTTTCCATGCACACGATGCCTGAGCACGCGGGCGCAAAGCAAAAAAGATCTATGACTAAGAGGTTGACCATTGCCTTGCAAAAAACGCCAAACCAAGCACATCGAAAAGGGAGTGATAAATAAATCACCTGCACACAAAACCGCCCACTACCTACAAGCTGGGCATATGAGTAAAAATATCGTCTTAGATGAAGCCCAGACAATAATGCAACGCGCATCACTGTCCGAAACCCATGTCTGGGCTTACCACGTGCCGGGGCGCCAAATTACGGCCGTGACATTAGCAGACAGAAACGTGACGCAGGAATACGCAACGAAAGCCGTGGGAAGACGTGTAAAGCACAGCAGCATGCACGCGTCACGCACGCGAGCCAAACGATCGCTTTCGCGACCATGACCAGTGCCATCGATGTTCTGGCCGGCGGCGGCCGCACGCGTACCTCGGCCCGCAGCCGCTCCACCAGCCGCTCCAGGTGGCGCATGCACATGCCGATCTGCAGCGCGCGCACGTGGTCGGCGTCCGGCTTGAAGTAGAGGTGAGTGTTGGCCACCACCAGGAGGCGCGACGGGCCTTCCGGCGGCGCCACCGTCGACTCCAGCACGTTCACCTGGCGACATCGGACACACCGCTGACGGAGGAGGACGTCCAGCCGGTACGCTGAGAGGTCAGCTCGCCACTCCAGCTGCTGGCGGGCCAGGTGAGCCTGTGTGACCTTCACCAGCGCTGGCGTCGAGTCGGAGAGCATACGAGCCTGACTGGTGAGGCGGCCGAGGTTTTAGCCCCATACCCATGCTGTGAATCCGCCAGGTCTGCTCCAGGTCACGCCTGGCCCGAATCTCCCGAATCTCCCGATCCAGGGGTGCGCTAGGTCGGCCGGTGGCCGCGCCGTGCCGTGACGCCGGTGCCTCCGAGGTCGCTCTTCCTTCCCCCCCCCCCCCCCGCCCCTCCCGCTCCGGAGCGGCCAGTGTCGCAGACTGACCTGCAGCACCTGCGTGCGCATCGTCAGCCTGTCGCGCAGCGGCGGGCTAGCGACGCAGGCGCGCTCAATGTCGGCGTACAGCGGGTCCTGCGAGAACGCCTCGCCCAGCACCAGCCGCTCCGTCTGCAGCAGCCTGCCGGCCGAGGCACGCTGTCAGACCGCACTGTCAGACCACACTGGCCGGTCGCAGGCAGCGACCGCACACTCGGTGTCAGCGCCAGCCGCTCCGTGTGCAGTAGCCTGCCGGCCGAGGCACGCTGCCAGACCGCACTGGCCGGCCGCAGGCAGCGACCGCACACACGGTGTCAGCGCCAGCCGCGGCGATTTACACATATAGTGGTCCTCTGGGGCACGTGCCCCTACCCCCCCCCTCCCTTACCAAATGCGCTGCATGCATTAATATGCACGATGTTGACAGAAAATGTCATGTAGACATGTAAAAATAGAATAAGAAGATAAAGAGCATACGATGCGGTATAAACAGACGAAATTACACGAACCTGCGGCACGCTGAACATGGTTTTCAGCGACTTTTCGTTGTTAAGCCACGCCCCCCACCCTTACGAAAATCCGCGATCGAACCCGAGCAGCAGCAACAGGGACAAACAAGCCAATGTCTGCGGCCGCACATACAGCACTAACGTGACAGATCAGAAGCATGGCGGGGTATTTGTTCGCTGCCATCCGGTGCACCCTGCTATGTCGAGATCACGTCTTGGACGCACTACGTCACGTCACGTCACGTCACAACTGTGACGTCCACTCCATCAGACCAAGACCGACCGCAAGAGATAAGAGTTAACATAGCCGAAGTGAGCATTGACATGAAGGCTGCACGCTCACGCACAGCTAGCGTGAAAGTGCAGGGTTCTCGCGGGGGCGACGGGCGCGGCGTGTGCGCGGACTCACCTCAGCTTGTCCCGCCGGAAGAAGCAGACAAGTCCCTCGGTGACCTGACCCCCCTTGTACGTGAACACGCCCTCCAGTCCGGCGTCACCCAGCATGGGCGTCAGATCGCCATCAAACACCTTCTTGTCCACCTCTTGCAGACACACTATGTCGCCGTTGTATCCTGCGGAGACAGACCGACGGCATGAACTAAGAAAATGATTCCGCTTCCCGAAAACCATCTAAGTGGGTCACTGAAATGGCTGGACGTGTTGTTCCCAAATGGTATCAATTTACAGCTTACACGTGGCAAAATTATGCACAAAGCTATGGTGCGAGACGGCAACGCCAAAACATGAATACTTCTGAGAGAAGTCTCACAGAAAAGTCAAGTCATTCGCAGAAAAACGCCTTCATTAGATGTGGAGCCTCCCGGAAATTGTGCCGCAAGCCCATGCATTCCGAGACTCCACATATTATTCAAGCTCCATTAAAAGTTATTGATAACTAGCAATGATTACAAGACATCTAAGTTGTAACATATTTGTTTAGTGTCAGCTAGCGCACACCCACCGTAACCGCCCAAATATATTATTCTGAACAAACGCAGGCCAGCGCCGGTCTATGGAACCACAGCAAAACACCAACCACGGTCTTTGATATACTTGCCCAACAATTCCTTGACAATGAGCTGCTTGCGGTAGTCTATATGAAGCGCGTACGGCGGGCAGTACGGATGAAGAACCGTCCGGGTGAAATCAGAGTCCGCGTACAGGTCCGCCAGGATGTTGTAACTGATGACGCGGTAGCTGAAGGCGACGACAGCCCACTCAACGCTTGCGCACACATAGGGGTACCTTGAGCTGCGGTGCATACAGCGCTAGTGCTGCCGCTGGGCATAGCATCAGGAGCCTACCTGTTCTCCGAGACAAACAGGCGGCAAATGGCAGCTTCCAGGACCGGCTGTTTGTAGCATTCTAGGTCGAACTGAATAAACCAACCAAGGTTAACATCTCGTAGACTGCTCGGTCCGTTCAAAGTAATAATTGTCTTCACTGTCTTCACCACGCCAAGAGGCTTCCACTCAGCTTTCCTGGGCATCCACCTCTCACTCAACTTTTTGACCTCTGCTATTGTCACTAAATTATTGGCGTGAATCATTAACACTTTCCGAGCGACCACCTGCCTGCGGCCATTTTAAACGAGCGAACATGGCAAGAGATGCGATCTACTCGCGCCATGATGCGGAGCCCGTTATGCCGTCGCATTGCCAACGACAACCGTGGAAGCCTCTCACAGCTGAAGAACAATCAGAACACACCTGTCTCCGAGATTGAGGTATCCGCTCATTTCTAACCACATCGCTACCCTCACACTGACATGACCCCGGTCCGCCAGCGTACGCCGTCGGCGCCGGCCGGTGCGCACCTGTTGCGGTCGGCCAGCGGAGTAGTGAAGATGTGCCGCTTTTCGAACGGGCACGGTCCGGGCCCGGCCTGAACGGGCTCGGTGGTGGCGCTGGCCGGCTGCCCGCGCCGCTCGCCGTCCGCCGGCTGACAGACCAGCCGCAGCCGGCGGCCCACGTCAGCCGGTGTCGCCAGGTAACAGGCGCCCTCGCCGGCCGACTGCCAGCCGTCGGCGCCATCCGCCGCCGCCTCGCGCTCCCACAGCAGCAGCGAGTCGGCGCGCCGCGCGTACGCCAGCTGCAGCCGGCTCGGGTACACCGGGAAGCCGGCCATCACGTGCGACGGCAGCCGGAGCGCCGCCACCGCCGGCGGGTTGACGCTCAATTGGTACCGCTGGCGGCCGATACGCAGCTGGGCGCGAGGCGCGTGCGTCACCAGCGCCTGGTGGCAGGTCATCTCGGGCTGAGCCGGGAGACCATCGAGCAGCAGCTCGGCGTCCGGCTGCACCAGCGCCTCATCCGGGATCTCCTCCGAGGTCTGCTTCTTCTTTAGCCGCATTGCTTTCTTGGACAGAAACTTTTCCACATTTGAGGCAATCCTCGCTGTTAGAATACTTACTGGCTCTTGGGGAGAGCGATTCATGTTGAAGACGCGCTCAAACCTTAGTGCTGGCTCGACATATGTAAAGCTCAGCTGCACCTGCTGCTCTCCCTCCGCATGGTTCACCACTACTGTTCCTTGATCCGCCATTGGACGCAGTAGGGACAGATGTCTTATAATTCTTTCATGAGCTTGAGCCAGACGTGCTATATGCCTCAACAGGGATAAATTATTGACACCAAAACTCATCTGCAAAATAGAAGTTCTTTGAATGGGTGATGGAACATGAGCTCTGTGACCAATAAACATGAAACAGCAATAGAAGACAAATATGTAGTGCAGCTTACATACAGATGGAAACAAGCATTGCATTGGTGAAATTTTGCATGTCATTGCATGGTGGAATTTGATCTAAATCTCATTATGTTGCCTCATGCTTGAAAAGTTCATAGATCTATTTTTGCAACATTCAGAATTTGTCTTCAGTACAAGGTCATGTAGATCTGAAGGATCACATCAAGCTAGAAGACATCACATAGACTATGAAAACATGTTTTCTTTCTCTTGGGAAGAGACAATCATTTTTGGAGCAGTCAAAATGTAAGTGCAAGGGGCAGCATGCATGGACCTTTGCATTTCTCAAAAGATACCTAAATATGAAAGTATTCTCAGCATAATTAAAAAACCAAATAAGAAGTTAAAGGGTTCAAAACCTCAATAAACATTCACAAGGCAATGATGATAGCAAAACAGCTATGTGTAATGAAGAAGTATATTGGTAGCACAGATTCAGCTTAGATTCATTTCAGAGCAATGTTATCTGCCTACATTTATCATGCTAATTGAATTTAAACTTTTAGCACTGGATATGATATATACAACAATTTTTCAGGCCCAAAATATATTGAGGCTGGGCACTCTTAAGTTTTGCTGGCATAACCAGCCTCACCAGAGAGAATACATCCACTGGGGTCACTTAAGACACCAACCTGGCATTTAACCTCTCATTATTTTACCTTTGACTATTTGTTTGACATTATTTGGCCTTAGGGTTGACTTAGAAAACTAAATTTTTCACAAATGAGTCTACATACAAGCCAACATACACTGGGAATTTTGTGTCTCTTGCTATCTTAGTTTTCAAGACTGCTGGGGTTGAATTGACCACCCACGCAGGCACAAGGTATTCAACTGGCTACCTGGACCATGTTTAGACGAAAATAATCTCCAACTGGCTGGGCCAATGAAACACATTTTGGAGTACACGTTCATAAAAGTTGTGGCAAAATGTTCTACCCTGAACGTTCTTCTTATGACACTCGAACACTCGAACACTCGACAATCGAACGTAAAGGAAGCACGTATGACACTCGAACGCAAAGGACGAGGACCCAAATAATACCATCGCATCTAAATCCCAGCACGCCCTCACACACAGCACACCACCAGCAATGCACCACACGCCCCGACCGGGCAGCCGGCTGTCTATTTACTGTCACTTGTGCGCCACATACAGAACCCCGTATTTTTCGTTATGGTGCAACATCCCAACATATTGCCTTGCAACATATCCTCGAGAATATTTAGTACGGTTCTTGCTAAGAGGGCAGCCGTGCTTAGTACCAATCGGTACTAAAAGTGGCGACGTTTATTACGCATAGATGCTAAACAGCAACACGTCCTCGAGCCTAGTTAGTCTGGATTCTTCGTAAGAAGGGAACCGTGTTAGTACCGATGTCTGCTAAAACTGGCGGAGTTAAGCACGCATAGAAACGAAACAACGCAATCCGGTAACCCAGTGCTAAATAGTGAAAATGGGGCTATTTTAGAGATAAAGCCTCGTGATGCTGCGAGGTTTGGTGTCGTCACAATCCCATTTCATGACGCCATCAAACAATGACGTAATGGGCCCTCATTTTTATAAACTTTGAAATTTTGCTACTTAGCGTCGTTTTTGAACTTTGAAAGCTTACCAATAGTTACAAGGAAGCACTTCCCATGATATCTGATGCCTAACTCAATATCTTTAAATGTAGAACATTCCCTTTAAAGAGCAATGGCAACGTGCGAGCATCGATGTTGGCAAAAGACAGCCTTCACGACCGCCAGTATCTGGTTGGCCTTGGAGATCGCTTCCGCCGTCTGCGCGTGGAACTGGGGCCGATAATTCACGAAGATTCCGAGGTCCTTCTCGGTGGACTCGATCGCGATTCCAGCGCCGTCCAAGAAATAGGTCAGCCTCGGGTTGTCAGTCCCCGATGTGCATTATTTTGCACCTTCGCAGCACTAAAGGGGAGCAGACACTCCTCTGACTACTTGGCCAGGGCGTCGAGGTCAGCCCGCAGGGATGAGTCAGTCAGGGGCCTCGGGACACGACAGCAGACCTTGGTGTCATCCGCAAACATCTTGACCACGCTTCGCACTTGTTCTGGCAGATCGTTCACAAAAGTTATGAACAGCGTTGGTCAAAGTACGGAGCCTTGCGGGATGCCGCTGATGACGTCGGTTTAATTCGACTTCGAGCCCTGGACCCGCGCTCTCTGCATCCGGTGGGTAAGGAAAACCCTGATCCAGCGTAGCAAATTACCTTTCACACCGTAAGCATGAAGCTTGGAGGGCAGGCGGTTATGAGGCACGGAATCGTAGGCTTTGCTGAAGTTCAGGTGCGCCACGTCCACCGGCTCTCCATCCTCTATCGCGGCGCTCCAATCCCCCATGACCTCTTACAGCTGGGTGATACGGGACAGCTTAGGGAGAAATCCATGCTGGGCTGCATGAATAAGTCCAGACTCCAAGAAGTAATTGAGTGGGGCATCACGGACGAAAGTTCCGAGTTTCTTCAAAGGAATGACAGTAAGGCTCACTGGGCAGTAGCTCGCTGGGGACTGACGGTTACCCTTCTTGAAGATCGGAGCTACCTCGCCAAGCTTCCAGTTCCAGGGGGAGCTGTAGCGGTGGATCACGTGTGGCAATAGATCATGCTACAGGACAGTGCTAACGTAGGGAAACGGTCACGGCTCAGTGGCGATGCGTTAGCCCGTGGACGCGGTGGAGTGGGACGCGGTGGTGCCGGCGAGTCGCACGCCGATCGTGTTGCGGGTGGGCCCCGAAAGGAGTATAAGAGGTGCTGCTCGGGGCGCGTAGAGAGAGTCTGCCGGCGTTGCGTGCGGCAGTTCGCCGTTGTGTGTGGGGTGGTCCGCGCGATGTGACTCGGAATACAAGCTATTTCGGCCAGAATGCCCGACGAAGTCCGCAAAACGATCCGGGCCGGCACCCGCGCGGAGGCGCTGGACCAAGCGAGCGTTCTCGCACGGGCACGAGCCGTGCTCGGCGATGAGCGCGTCGCTGCTGGCGGCGGCCGTGGCGCGCGCAGGGGCGCCTCCGCGAGCCCCGGCGACGCACTTGGCGAAGACGTCCACTGCGGCGCTGCTGGACGTGCGGTGAGTCGGGCCACGTCGCCGTCGCCTGCCCGCGGCGTCGGACGGAAAGCGAGTCGGGGGACGCCGCGTCAACGGGAGCGCCATCCCCCCGCCATTGAAGGACGTGCTGCCCATCACCTGGCTGGAGGTGAACGGGCGGATGGTCGGGGTGCTTGTGGACGCGGGCTGCACGGACGCGCTCGTATACGCTGGCCGCTGCGAACAATGAACACCGCGGACGGTGAGAGTGGCCACGATTGGCGGCCGGGAATTCGGATGCTATGGGACCGGCAGCATGGTGGTTGATACCAGCGACCGTCGAGTGATGCTCGAGGTCCTGGTAGTGCCGGACCGACCGCTGGGTGTTGACGTCGTGCTCGGCATGAGTGGCATCACTGCCCTGGGAGGCATCAGCGTGCGGACGCCGACAGACGTCGGTTCTGTGCGGCAGCAGCTGTGACCCAGTGAGGCCTGGAGGTGGATGCAGCCGACTTTACGGCGAGGTTTGGCCGCGAGCAGCAGGCGTGGACGGTCGCCTGGAAATGGACGGACACCAGCGACCGTCGAGTGATGCCCGACGTCCTGGTAGTGCCGGACCGACCGCTGGGTGTTGATGTCGTGCTCGGCATGAGTGGCATCACTGCCCTGGGAGGTACCAGCGTGCGGACGCCGACAGACGTGCGGTTCTGTGCGGCGGCAGCTGTGACCCAGGAGGCGTGGAGGTGGATGCAGCCGACTTTATGGCGAGGTTTAGCGGCGAGCAGCAGGCGTAGACGGTCGCCTGGAAGTGGACGGACGCCAGCGCCAGTGCTGCAGATGGCGGTGGAGCGGTGGAGCAGCCTCCCGCGACCGTTGGAGCGACAGGTCGGTCTCCTCCGGGCGGTGGGGCGATGGAGCGGTCTCCCGCTGCCGATGTAGCGACGGCTTGGCCTCCCGAGGCCGGTGGAGCAGCGGCCGGCCACAGCCAGCCACTGCGTGGCTGAAAAGGCGTGCGAACGCAGTGCCCGACGGCTGGGATGACGTCACGGATGACGAGATCCTGCACGCCCAGATCGGACACGTGTGCGGGCGCCTGTCAGCTGCAGACCCGGCGCGCGGCCAGTGGCGCTGAGCCGGAGACTACGCGGTCGTTTGGACCGACGCCAGCTCGATTGTGGCCGGTGTCGTCGTCG